TGAAAGGGTCCTGTTGTCTTTGCCTACATTTTATGAAAAGAACATAGCCTTTATGAGAAAGAATGACACAGGACACACCTATGAAAGGCCTTTCATAAAACTTGTGGACTTATACACACAGCTCTACAGGCAAGTGCCTTAGTTTTATGATAAAGATGGTAGCCACTTGTGCTCGTGGAATAAACAATCTGTAAGTTGCAATCCGCTTTCAAGTCAACTGCCGGATTTCAATGTGAGCCGAAGATGGCCTCATTTTTCAACATTGTGTTGCCTGATGCGGGAAGACTTACCAATCCACTGGAATATGCCCAAATAGCCCACAGGGTATTGAATCAGGAATATGAGGAGGGTTTGAGAGCTCAAGATGCTCTTTTGGAGGCAATGGCACACATAGAGGATCAGTTGAGGCAGTTGGATACTATGATCATGCTGAAGGAAGAGGAGCTTCAGATCGAAGCAAGGATTGAGAAGGCAGAGAAATTGGTGTCATAGTAGTGACCTCCCCCTGTCTTCGGATATATCTTTTGGCCTACTTTTTCATCAGTCCAGCATATGATCATGTGTTAAATAGCAATTGGGCCCAATGTTGCAGGATATTTCACAATTGGGCCACACCATCACACCTTAAGGTAAAAGCATGCATTGGGCCCAACTTTATTCAATAGTGTTTAGATAGCATTGGCCCCATTGGGGTAGCTCTGTGGTACACAGGTACAATTGACCATGTGGAGTACCATTGAACTATAATGTAATGTATGAGTACTTGTGGCACCACTTGTTCCTTCAGTTACAAATGCCATTCCTCCACAACCTCAAGAAAGGGATCCAATAGGGGCACATCAACGGTTATCTTCCCAAGCTAAGGTGGGGGGAAGATAGAGCCTGCATATGAGTTTCCTCCCCGTGCAGCCTCCTTTCCTCCATCAATCATTGGTCATGCAACTTTTCCTGCTTCCCTTGATACACACTCCTCTTCCCCTTTCTCCCCCCCCAGCATTCCAACTGTCTTATTATTGCCATTTTCCCTTCCCTTTGCTCGCCTGGGTCTCTCTTGACCTGAACTTCCCCTTTTACAATTGATCAGCTGCCACCGCCAAAGCCGCGAGCCCTCTCA